ATTGAATGCTTCCAAACCACAGATTTTTTTTTTTTTTGAGAGGTTTTTGCTATAGGGAATGTGCACTAGTCAGAAAGACAGAGAGACAGAGAGACAGAAAGCAAGAACTCACCCCACAGGGAAGATGGCCATGCCGAAATCTCTTCTTCTCCATTTGCCTCTCAGGATCTTGGACACACATGCACACACGCCCGGCGTGAGTTTAAGCCACCAGGTCCAGGACTCAAAACTCAGTCTACTACATGGGAGTCCAGGGACATAGCCATTATGCCATCTGCTGGTCCCAACCACAGGATTGTTAAGGTAGGAAAGATCTGGGAACAGCAAAAGGCATTAATGGTTATGTTGGTAGACTCCCACATAGTCAACCATGGTTCAAGTTCTGGACCCAGAGGCTTAAAATTCATAACAGGTACCTGTGCATGCATGCCCAAAATCCTGGGAGAAGAATGGTGAAGGGATAGGGCATGTTCAGTCCCTGCCAAGGGGTGATTTCTCATTTTCTGTCTCTGTCTCTCCAGTGAGCACATGTGCCCTATAACAAAATCTTTCTTTAAAAAATAAAGGGGGGGGAGGGTAGGAAGGATCTGGGGGGCCATCTTTTAAAACTCTTTCATTTTACAAATGGAAAAATAAAGCTCTGAAAAGCAGGAGATAATGGGAGAGCCCAGAAAAGAACACTCAGGTAGAGGTTTTCAATTCATAACATTTTGCATTATGCAAGCATCTCCCAAAGGTTGTTTCATAACAGTCTTCCACATGGTGTTTTTAGATGCTGGGGGAAAACAAGGGTCTACCGTCAAGGTAGTCACCATATGAGAAAAGCCCTGGGTTAATCAAAGTTCAACTAGTTTTTAATTATGAGACTTCTTAGAATCTTTAAACTGCTAATGTAGTATGTGGCAAATCCTGTGTGGCAAACTCCTGAGACAAGCAGTTAAGAGTTCTGGATTCCTGGGACCAGCAGTTAGTGTAATGGCTACGTGGCTGGACTCCCATGTAGTCGACTGCTGTTCGAGTCCTGGACCCAGTGGCTTAAATTCACGCCGGGTACGTGTGCGTGCGTGCCCAAGATCCCGAGAAGAGAATGGAGGAGAAGGAATTGTGGCATGGCCATCGCCCCGGGGGGGGGGGTGATTCCTCGTTTTCTGTCTCTGTCTCTCTCTGTCTGTCTGGCGAGAGCATGCGCCCTATAGCAAAAAAAAAACCTCTCCAAAAAATAAAGTTCTGGATTCCAAGGATTCCAAGGCTAGCAGATGATGTAGTAGTTAAGGCACTGGACTCCCACATGGCCAACCACAGTTAAAGTCCTGGACCTGGTGGCTTGAAAATCATGCCAGGCTCATGTACATGCATGCCAAAATTCCAAGAGGAGAATGGAGGAGAGGGGATTGCAGCATGCCCTTCCCCCAGGGGAGTGATTTCTCACTTTCCCTTTTACTATCTCTCTCTCTGTCTCTCTCTAGCAAGCACATGAACCCTATGATGAAAACCTTAAAAAAGAAAAAAGTAAGAGTTCTGGGTTCCAATCTCAACTCTCCAACTAAATGATTAGTCATGTGATATTTGGGTGAGTTACATAAACTCTCTGAGCCTCAGTTTCCTTGGTCAGTAAAATTAGTATACTAATAGAATTTAGTTAATAGGCTCACTATGAGGATTTAGCATAATGAGCACACAACAGATAGGTACATACATGTGGGTGTTGGTTATTACGAGAAATGTA